AAGAGAAGGCTGAGGGGGGATCTAGTGGCCTGTTACAAACTAGTCAGAGGGGACCAGCAGGCATTAGGGGAGTCCCTGTTCCCCCAAGCACTACCAGGAGTGACTAGAAATAACGGTCACAAGCTGGCAGAGAATAGAGTCAGGCTAGACATCAGGAGGCGCTACTTCACGGTCAGGGCGGCTAGGATCTGGAACCAGCTTCCAAGCGAAGTGGTTCTGGCTCCTACCCTGGGGGTCTTCAAGAGGAGGCTAGATGAACACCTTGTTTGACCCCCGTACTCTTTCCTGCCATGGCAGGGGTCAGACTTGATGATCTGCTCAGATCCCTTCCAACCCTACCAACTATGAAACTATATGGCATGCTTTCTGCCACTCTTTTTGTTTCTGATCTTTGACATCCATACATTTGAGTGAATGGTACCATCTTACACCTGTCTTCCCCAGTCCTGGCCTCTGTGTCTCTGGCCTCTTCCAGGTTGCCTTTGCTGCTTAACAGTTTATGAAAGCAGTCCTCAATTCCACTTAGAACAATAGCAACCTTCCTGCTCCTGGGCATGGATAGGCTAATAAGAGAGAAAGCAAAACAGGCTTAAGAGGGTAAACCAGTTCTTCATGGAAACAGTGTTTTAAGGGATTGTGAATTGTTTTCCCCTTTCCCTACTCTAGAATGCCAGTTCCTTTGATGCCTTCCACTTGCATCATGGCAGTGCTGCAACAACTCAGCTGGGACCATATGCTTTCAAGATCCCCCTGTCCATCCGGCAGAAAATCTGCAACAGCCTGGATGCTCCAAATTCCAGAGGAAATGACTGGAGACTTCTTGCTCAGAAACTTTCCATGGATAGGTGGGTTTTAGCTCACCATGTGATGCTAGACACTCTGCTTTTCCCTTCTTGCCCCTAGCCTGTCATTTGGAGAGAGGGGGTTATATGTTTCCTTGATGGCTTGCATTGTCCACTCATTCTTTTCTGAGCTAGGGAGGATGGGGGCTAGTGTGATCCATGCGGGACATGATTATGTGCTGAGCATTTAGTTTGTATCTAGACTCATCTTCTCTGCGTCCAAGAGCCACCACCCTTAAGCTGCCAGACTGCATATAGAGAGCATTTTGGGTATCTCAATGTAGCTCCATTCAGCAGATGTGCCACCACAGTCTGGAGTGCGCTCTGGAAAGCTAACAGCAGCTGGATGGACTGCAACAGCTGGATAAAAGGCCAAGGAGCCTTCTGCCTGGTGGCAGCAAAAGCGTTACTCTGATCAGCATAGGTGAAATGACTTCTGCCACACCACAGAAAAGCTTTGAATGTGAACACACACACAATTCTGCAACAAAACTTTGCAGTGTGGATTAGGCCTTTGCTTCTGTTGCTTTACATATAAACAAATGCATCTTGGCAGAACTTATTCCCCTACCCCCCTACAAGATGCTGTTGCAGCTTTGTTTAGCCCCAAAGGGGCAGATACTGTCTCGCAGTGCTGTTCTTGGAAAAGGGATTAGTTGGCATGTATTGCAAAGCATTGCTCGCAACACCATCACTAAAGTGTCTGATTAACAATACAGAAACCACTTAGGGTTTTGCAGCTCCTGGGAACACCACCATAGGGATCTAGTATTCTGTCAGTGATGAAACCAAGCCTGCTTGTATTCAGCAGGAAATTGGACTCATGTGGGAAGGAATACAGAGAGAGAGTGGGATGGGGGAAAAAGGCAAAAAACTAAAGGCTTGGTGAGTCAAGAAGCACAATAATTTTATGTACAAATGTGAATGAATGCATGCTCACCACTGTGCCATGAGGTACAGAAGTATTATTGTTCTTGTTTGACAGGTGGAGACCTGAGGCACAGGGAGGGGGAATGATTTACATAAGGTCACAGTGATTCAATGCTAGAGAGAGAATTCAAGTTCAGAAGTTTCTTATTACCAGACTTGTGCTCATTCTGCCAGACCAGGATGCCTTGAGGCTTGAAGCATGGGACAGCTGACATTTCCATATAAGGTTATAGCTGTGCCTTTTCCCCTTTGATTCAAATTACAGAGGCCTTATGCACGTGCACCCAGTGAGATCTGTGGGACTGCCTGAACATGCCTGACCTTCTGCCATCACAAGATGATGATCACGCATCACAAGAGTCTCATGCTGCTGAGCATGACTGCCCTTATATCATTCCTCTTCTGTACTTGGCCTGTTCCATTATAGGATCATGCTTTAGGGGTGGGAGAGAGGGAAAGCATTCATAATTTGTGTAAAATGATGCATCTTACTTTTACACAAATGCTAGTGAAGATGAAGATAATGCTGTGAGGGCCCAGGCATTTGTACTGTGATTTGTCCTTGATAGCTTATACGGGATGCAGATTGTTCCAGGTCTTCTCTCCTTTCCTAACCACTCCTTGTCCTGACCATGTGCCATTCAAATTAGGGGTATGCATAAAGTTAGCTTCAACTTTCTCTGTCTCCTTCTTCACAGGTATCTGAACTACTTTGCCACCAAAGCCAGCCCAACAGGAGTCATCCTGGACTTATGGGAAGCCCAGCACCAAGATGACGGCGATCTCAATACCCTGGCTAGTGCCTTGGAAGAGATGGGCAAGAGTGAGATGCTGGTTGTCATGGCAACAGAGGGGGACTGCTGATGTTGCTTCTAAGTACCTGGTAGTCTTCAGTCAGTGGACAAAGGAGGACAGAGAAGAGGGTGAGATGAGGAGGAGGAAAATAGGGAAGGTCCCTTCCTGAACTAGTGGGGTAGGGTTGGGCTCATTTCTACTTTGCATTTGGTGGGTTGCTGAGCTGTACTTAGCAATGAGGTGTAAGAGGAAGTTACTTCTCCACCACCCTAAATTGCTAGCAAGCCTTAGAAGTCTACCCACACAGTTTACAAGCAATTCAAGTGTTAAACAAGCTCCCTTCTCCTCCTTGCCATCCTCTAGTGAAGTGCAAAAGTAACACTTTTTGGTAACCATGACAACAGCCATTGGCGGAAGTGGGCAGCTGCTTCCCCTGTGGTCCTGGTCAGTTAGGGCTTCTCAAGTGGGGTTGGGCTTTACTTCGTTTAATTTGTTTGGATTCTCCCTCTCTTCCGTCTCCTTTTTCTTTAATAGCTTTTATGCTTTGAAGAGTTGAGTACAATCTAGACAAACTGCTTACTTCTGTCAAGAGCTTCAGATGGCTTATTAAGGCAAAAAGAAAGAAAAAAGAAAAAAAAACACAGTTTCTTAGGAAACGCAAATAATTTATTATCCAGATCTTTGGATGAGTCCTTTTTAAAAAAACAAAACAAAACAAAAAAAAATCTTCTGTGTGTGAGCAAGAGCATTAAGATGTTCAGAGTGTGTGTGTGTGTGAGAGAGAGAGAGAGAGAGAGAAGAGAGAGAGGAAACTTCACATTACATTTGTAGTGAAAATAATTTTTAAAAATGGCAAGAGAAACTCGTTTATTTGTTCCTAGCCCCTTGGTGATGTCCAGCTGGGTAAGTGCCTAGAGACCTACATGGCTTAGAAAGGGCAAGATGAATCTCCTTCTGTGACATCTTTGTAAATTCTCCTTTATGTCTTGCACTGAAGGCCACTTAAGCACCCAGCTAACAGAAGAATAAATCCACTCCTGGAAACAAGGTTAAAGGGAGATACATTGACAAACTTCCAGTGCTTTTCTTCAAATCACAATGATACTCCTCAGCACTGTTTCCAGCCCCATTATAGAAACTTGAACCTCACATAGGCATTTCAATCCATTTTTTTCACATACAGTTTTTCCTCTTCTGGCCCTGTATCTGTTTGAAACAGACCAAAGCATGGCTTCATATAATCATCTTTGTCGTCTACTGCAGCACCATTGTTTCAGGAATGAAACTGAACAAAGCAAACCTTAGCTTCAGTATCAGGGGAGAATGTGTTCCCAGTGTCACTATGTGAAAGAGCCTTTCA